GCTGGTGCCGCCCATCTCCCAGCAGCTATGAGTGTTGGCTGACAGATGCCCCTTTTCCACCAGACGGCCTCACTTGGGAAGTGACACCCCCTAGGACATCCCACAGCCAGCGACTGTCTGATATGGGAGGAACACAAGGTGGGACCAACTCTGAGGTGCTATTCACACTCAAGGGCTCCCCATGGGATCAGAATGAGCCAGACTCCAGCTGAGGCTGACCCCTGCTCACCTTAGTCACTCCCCTGTCCACCCTGTTCCCACATGTTTTTCTCCTGACAGCACCCCCTCAAGACATCACACGGATCTGGATCCCCATCTCAGACCCTGCTTCCAAGAACCCAGTCTAAGACCCTCACTTTCTCCAAACTTCCTCCCTCACTGGGACCCCAGCACCACATGCCCCAGGTCTCCTCCTGTCTCTCTGGCTACTCCTTCTCCTCTTTTCTGGGCTGATTTCCCTCAACCAGGCCTTAGGTCTCAGTGTCCCCAGGCTCATTCACTCCTCACCTCTTCAAGTCTGTCCCATGGCCTCAATGATTGTCAACACCCTTCGTCTCTCTTATTCCTGTCTTCGGCCCCCAGCTACCCCCTGGGGGTCTCCTGGATGCCCCCAGGCCCCTCAGACTCTGCAAGCCCCAAAGTAACCCATGCTTCACCCTGTGTCCTCGCCACTCGGTCACCTAAGCTAAGGACTGGAACATCAGGCCCCCTCCTCTCTGTGTCAGGACCCCACTCTTCTCAGGCCTCCACTTTCTCAGCAATGGCAACTCCTTCCTCTGGTCCCTCTACCAGGCCACCAGCAGGACAGCTCTACATTTTCCATTAAATAACAAAACAAAAAACCTACACATGCCTTTAACTGCTCTGCTAAACCACGTGCCTCTCCAGAAGGAGATAGCACTAGACCTGGGGGGGCAATTCCACCCCCAAGGGACACTTGCTCATATCTGGAGGCTTTTTCTCTTGGGTTTTTTTGTTTGTTTGTTTTTTTGGGTTTCTTTTGCAACTGGTGGGTACAGGGATCCAAACCCCTGACCCTGGTGTTAAAAGGCAGCATTCTAACCAAAGGAGGCATTTTTGTTTTTTCCTTTTTGTCTTTTTTTGTGTCTGGCAACGGATCACAACCCTCAGTGTCGCGCCCGTACCGGACCGGGACCGGCAACGGGATCGCAACCCTCGGTGTTGCTCCCACACCTCGCTCAGCCAGTGAGCGGAACCGGTCTGTATGTGGGATCCGAACCCTCGGCGGGAGTGCCACCACGCTCTCAAGCGGCGCACTGTAGCAGTGCGCCACCGGGCCGGCCCCAAAGGAGGCGTTTTTGATTAAGACAAATAGAAGGCCGGGTGCTACTGGCATTGAGTGGGTGGAGGCCAGGGATGTTGCTAAGCAACCTACCGAGCACAGGACAGCCCCCCATGGCAAAGAATGATCCAGCCCCAAATGTCAACAGCTGATGTTGAAAAGCCTCGGGGAGACTGTTGCCAGGGAAGGCTCCCCAAGACTAAGTGAAGCGAAACCCACAAGACCGACCTGGAGACCCTGCCCAGAGCCTCCTGCTGCCCCCGAGTGTCCCCCGAGGTGCACTCACTCACCCGGATCACCTCAGGGGCCAGCTCCCGCCGAGCCCGGGGTTCGGAGCCAGGACTGGGCCGGTGGTACGGGAAGACCATGGCCTGGCCGTGCGCGTCCAGGCGGAAGCGCAGCGACGTGCGCAGGATGGCGCTGAGCCGCTGCAGGAAGTCGGCGCTGGAGCGCAGCAGCTCCTCGGGCGGCAGCAGCACCGTGAGCACCAGCACCCCGCGGGCCAGCAGGGCTGGCACCTCGCCGGCACAGTCCAGCCCGTCCCAGCCACACTCTTCCATGTTGCAGCCCTGGTCGCAGCGGCCGTCGGCGAAGTGGTCAGCGCAGTACTTCTCGTACATGGGGCTGGGGGCAGAGGGCAGGGTCAGGCGGCCCCCTACCCCGGCCCCATGCACACACACCACAGAGCAAGCACCAAGACTCCGGACAGCGCTCGCACAGGGAACTGGAATGTACTGGCACATGTCAGGTTTTCTGCAAATCCAGCCATTTTCCAGATAACTATGAATAAATCCATAACTATTAGCTGACCGCCTGCTATGAGGCTCACACAGAGAGGGACAGAAGAGGGGCAGGGGCATGGACAGACATATAGAGGGGTAAAGGGGGCAGATAGATAAACAGACAGATAGACAGATGGGGCACACAGGTGAGCAGACTGGCATGGGGCAGACAATGGACGGACACATGAGATCCAAGGATGGACAAGCAGCGGAGCAGACAGATAGTTGGGTGCATAGAGGAAAGAAAGGAATTCATGGATGGACAGAAAGACCCACAAACAGGGCTTCAGGAGGGACAAATGGAGTGTATTGGGGGACAGAAAAACAGACAGGTGGGGCACGTGGATGAACAGACAGGCGGGGCACTCACTAAAGGGCAGACAGGACACATGGGTGGNGGCACGTGGATGAACAGACAGGCGGGGCACTCACTAAAGGGCAGACAGGACACATGGGTGGACAGATGAAGTGCACAGACAGACACAGCGTTCTCATGGGAAGACGGGATGCACAGAGAAACAGAAGGGGCCAATAAATCAACAGCCCAAAATGACAAATGGATAGACAGAGGGGCAGGGCCCATGGATGGTCACATATGGCAAATGTGACAGTCTAGGACAAATAGATGGACAGACGGGCACAAGGGCGGGGCCCGTGGATGCACGGACTGGACAAATGGATGCACAGACGGACCGGGGCAGGGTCCATACAC